TAAGCAATGACCGGGAAGGGGCAGGCCTCAGCAGCCAGTAGGTCTGTGGCCCCAAGGCTTTCTCAGGCACGACAAAGGACGGCATAACCTGGTTCCTTGACTGCCTTGTTGAGGAACCACCCTGCTCTCCAGACTTCCAGACTTCTTATTGCATGAGATAAATAAGCTCCTATTTGGTCAAGATTGCTCTTATATATAGTTGATAGTCCTAACGACACAGGGCCAACAAGAATGGCAAATGTCCATAAACCATCTTATGAAATATCCATCACATGCATTTCTACCATTCTACCCCAGGTGCTTTGCCCTGGGCCAGATCCTTCTGGATCTCCACTTGCAACCAATCTGTCAGTTCCCTGCCTGCTCCTTAGGCCTATAATGTGTTTGTAGCCATAATGGATCCTCAGCCCTTAAAACAATGCCTGACACATAATAGGTCATCTTTCCATGTTTGTTACAGATGGAAGATGAACACGTGAAAATAGTACTAGCCAAAGAATCAGAAAATGATGCATCAGCCCCACCTGGGAAGATCGACTGCATAAAGTGCGTGAACGACTCTGGTAATACTTCTGTATTTTTGTGTTTTTTAATCTGGAAAAGTCATCTATCTATTGCCTAGCTGACAAAACATATGTGTAAAAGTCCTTTCAAAGCTATAAAGCATTACAAGAGTATTTATTTTGGTCATCCATGTAAGAAATTGCATAGAGCCCCAAATTAAGTTGAACATAAAACAACAGCAATTTAGAAACACTACCATCTATATTATCTACTATCAGGTACAATATTCAGAAAGAGTATTGAAAAATATTATAAACATACTCACCATTTAATTTTCAACGTTAGGACATGACCAAAAGATAACAGCTCAGGAGGCAGAAATGATATCTGCTACTTACATTGTCACAACATAATATTTGCTCCATAATTGCATGATCAATATTTACTCAGTGATTATATAGCTTTTCACATGGTTGCTTGAACCCAATAAGGTAAAGGAAAAGCAGTTATCTTTATTTTCCCAGGGGCAGATTTGACAAAGACAAACTTTCTGGATTATCTTCCTTATTGGCTTATTTAAACCTGAAAATTACTATTATTTCCAACCCACAAGCAGCTTTTGTGGCATAAGCTTTCACTTGTGAACTTCACAGATTTCAAAGTCAATCACCAAGAGAAAGGGGTTACCCCCTTTCTCTGAAATTCCTTCTATCTGCCTGCACTCCCAATATACAGAGCAGTATGTTTCTAGACAAATAACAACGCTTGCATTTTTAAACTTGTCACATAATGTGATCGAAGATAAATAACGAAGTATTCGAGGCTGCCTCCAAATCCCAAATCCCAAAATTCTGAAAGGACTTATACTTTTGTGGTTCTCTAAAACTATCTGCCTCACAGATTACGGGAAAAGATGCTTTAAAATGTGTTTTTATTTTTTAGCTTTGCATTGTAAAAACATCCCTTGTAAACTCGCTGGAGGTTTATTAAGAGATATTGGGATCATCACTTACTTTTAGAAGATGAAAGGGTCTGCAAAGTGAAAAACTCAAGTGGCTTCAGAGAGGTACCTTAGAATACAAAACATTTCCAATCTGAAACATGCCATCATTATCAACTTATGTCCATCCATCACATGCATATTTATTGTTTGGTGTGTACAGTGAAATTTACTACTCTTGGATTTTGGAAGCCATCTGCTCAACTTAAGGCACTTTAGGAATTCTAGAACTAAAGTAACTAAATTTGGATTAGCAAAACTGAAAGAAATCTTTTCAAGGGAGGGGAGCTCAGACAAGAAGGAAAAAGAATACTGTAAAGCTTCTATGCACATGAAAACCCAGCTTTGTATTCAGTAGACTTAAAGGAAAAAAAGATTTAATTGCTTGAGTTTGATTTGGAATATTATTGCAACTTGCTACACCCAATAAATCTACATATTTTATGATCACCCTAATTGTTTCTGTTTATGAGATGGGCAGAGTAAAACAGTTCAATATTTGATGAAAAATACAGCCTAATGGCATATATGACATCATGTTTATTGTTGAAATAAGAGCAAATAACATATATACCACTAATAGCCAGTGAAGAAATTTCCTTCATATAAAAAAGCGCAAACTGGTGTTGATCCCAGAACTCTTTGTATGTTTCAATGACCCTTATCGAAGATATGTGCTTAAACAGGCTAGCAGTTTTTCCTAAACCAATCTTTTATCACAATAATCACAGCAGAATTAAAGATCCACATCGCCAATGTGTGCTACCTGTATTCCTATAATCATTCATTTATTATTCATACTCCATTTATTTCCAAAAAGGAAATAAGGCCAAGTAAGAAAGCTGTGCATACACGCAAGTGTTCACGCACGTGTGTGTGTGTGTGTGTGTGTGTGTGTGTGTGTGTGTGTGATGTACATATGCAGGGCAGAAGGAAAAAGGAGATATCAAGAGGGTATGGAGTTCTGCCTATGAATTGAGTGTAGCGAAACCATTATATTTCTTGCAGAAAGACAAAAAGGAAAGCAAAATGATTTATAAAACTTTTACTTTATTAAAAGCTTTTAAAACATAAAAGTGAGTTATCAGAGGAATTAATAGCTAACATGTACAATCACCTAGCACAAACTCTGGCAAATACTAGACTCAGATATACTAGTTCGTTCATCCACTCATTCAGCAAATATTTATGTGGCAACTACTATGGGCCAGGTATACTCCTGCTAAATGGGAATCCAATATCCAAATAAATTTGTCACCTGTATTTTTAGGGGAGAAAAAAGAAAATGTTAATGATTAAACCTCAAATGTGAGTTTAAAAAAGACTTAGAGGCTTCCTTATATCCATCTTTTATAAAAGTTAAAGACATCATGTGAAATCCTGATTCTGTGAAGGCATTTCTACGGAGAGCTGAAGTATTACAGTCCAGACATGAAGGTTTCTAGAGCTCTTCCTTGACCCAGTGTAACAGCTGAGAGAGTCTATTCTGGAGAAATAGATGCTAGGTATGAAGTCACTGAAGAGAGTTCCCAATATTGATCTTCTGGTCTTTTTCTTGAAGTTCAGTTACTTTGGATTGCTGATTGAAGTATCAATTTGCTTTAGATACCAGCAGCACACATGAAGGTGTGATTTAAAGGCCTCCTTACCAGAAATATCTTTCTATTTATGAGGCATCTGAAACATGAAATTCTGCTATAGGAGATTTATTATAGTAGAATAGAAATCATGTTTTTCAAGCATTCTTTCTGGCATTTCAATTATGGTACTTCTTATACGTAGTCCATTTGCCTTTCTTTAATAGACAAAAGCATGTTTTGCTTCCTATACCATAACCTCAGCACCTAGCACAATGCCAAGCATATAGAAGACAGTCAATAAATATTTACAGTGTGAATGAATAAATATGCAATTACCAAAGGTGAAACTCTTTACCAAATGGCAGGGATCCACCCACAGAATGCCAGGACAATATGAACATTATTTTGTCAGATACACTCTTGTCCTAGTGGAGACCTATCAATTTACCTTCCAGCAGCACCAAACTGCCTTCAGAAAGGGCATTTGACCTATTGGGGCACTCACAAATTTGCCATTGAAGCCCTAGAGCCTGGCAATACAAAACATGAAGAATATTACCTTTTCCTGGAGAAGTTGAAAGCAGGTATTATCAATCATCTATTTCTACTATAAAACAATCATTGTACAACTCACCCTGAACTTTCACAGGTCCCCTGAAAGTCTGGTCACCAAATTCATTCCTGACCATTAAATCAGTTTACCTGTGAAATTAAATAGTTTGTTTGGAATGCCTTAGTCTAAGAAAGAAGGGACCCAAGAGTCTAAAACATATTATCCATCTTCTTGCTTGGCAAAAATTAGGGCATCTAATTAAAAGTGAATTTTTACTGTATATGCTAAAACCAACTTAAATAACTCACCATTTAACTACATTTAACCATATTATTTTTATTAAAAATACAATACATATGCAAATGCTAAAGCCTTAAAATCAAAGATAGCACTGGCTTGCCACACCGCACGGTCTCACATCACAGGGCAATGACTTTTTCTTGGAGCTAAATTATAATTCTGATCTCCCTATTTCTAAATAATTATGTTAAACTGTGTCCTGCTTTGGCAAGTTTAGACTATATCCATTAATTCTTTTTATGGTAGATGAGAATTTAGCTCTTGCCCCACTATCATATTTTCCTTTCCAATTTTCCCAGGCTAGTTATTTCATAACATTCTGTTAAGTCAATTGCTATGGTTTGAATGTGGTTTGTTTGGCCCTGTCAAGTCTTATGTTGAAATTTGCTCCCCAGTGTTAGAGGTGGGGCCTGCAGGGAGGCGTTTGGGTTATGGCACAGATCCCACATGAATGGCTTGGTGTCTTCCTTGTGGTAATGAGTGAGCTCTTGCCCCATTAGTTCCCATGAGAGTTCCCCTAAGAGCTGGTTGTTAAAAGGGGCCTGACACCTTCCCTCTTGCTTCCACTCTATTGCCATGTGATCTCTGCACATACTGGCTCTCTCTCCTCTTTTGCCATGAGTGGAAGAAGCATGAAGCCCTCACCAAAAACAGATGCCAGTGCCATGTTTCTTAAACAGCCTGCAGAACCATGAGCCAAATAAACCTCTTTTCTTTACAAGTTACACAGCCTCAGAGATTTCTCTACAACACAAACAGACCAAGACATCAATGTTCATCGCAAAGCAATATTAGATATGTGTATTATGATTATACAGTCAACCCTTGAACAATGCAAGGGTTGTTCAAACCCCCAAGCAGTTGAAAATGTGTGTATAAATTTCGACTCTCTAAAAACTTAACTACTAATAGCTTACTACTGACCAGAAGCCTTACTGGTAACATAGTCAACACATATTTTGCATGTTATATGTATTATATACCACATTCTGACAATAAAGTAAGCTACAGGAAACAAAATGTTCTTAAGAAAATCCTAAGGAAGAGAAAATTTGTTTGCTACTCATTAAGTGGAAGTGCATCATCATAAAGGTCTTCATCCTCATCGTATTCACGTTGAGTAGGCTGAAGATGGCAAGGAAGAGGGAGGGCTGGTCTTGCTGTCTCAGGGGTGGCAGAGGCTGAAGAAAACCCATATATGAGTGGACCTGTGCAGTTCAAACCGACGTTGTCCAAGGGTCAGCTGTATTTCCTTTCTTGTACAACTTTGTTTTTTCTCCGAACTACAAAATTGTGTAATTTTTCATTTACTTAGTTTTCTATGTATCCCATGTCTTGTTGGGAGGTCTAAAATCTCCCTATAATAAATTCCCCCATCAAGAGTCCTAGACTGGTTCCTATTTTTCAACGTGGATTTTAATTTAAGCCAATTCTATTTGCTAATTGGCTTTTCCCCACTTGAATAGACTGGTTCCTATTTTCCCATCTGAATTATAACTAAAATCAGCTATATTTTCTTATTGGCTTTCTCCTCCTGTTTTCATGTAGATTGTATTCCTTACTGGAATGTAAACTACATGAAAACAGGAACTTTAGTGCCTAGAACACTGCCCAAACTACATTGGGTGTGCAATAGAAGTATTTTAAATGAAGGAAGTAATAAGCTTTTCTTTTTTCAAAGCAATATGTCATTCAGATTCTATACAGTTAAAAACATTATAGTTGTGATAAAACTCAGAAATTTACAAGGCTAATCAGAAATTTTTAGTTTTATAGAGAATCTGGAGTGTTGCAACTAGGATAAAGTCATGAAAATTAAAAGAGAAATTCAAATTAAAAGTAAATAAATAAAAACAAGAAAAGGGCTCAAATGACCCAAGTATAAAGAAATTACTTTCTGAAGTTCATTTCATTCCACTAATTTGGGTACTAGCTTCAAGTTATTTTTTAAAGTTTATTTTATCTATAAAATACATGCTTTCATTAAATGCGTCATTACTTTTATGACCCTTGTAATCAATCTCCTTTTTTCCCTTCTAAACATGAGAAACAAATAAGACAGACACAAACATTTATATTGATGAGCTTTTAAAAATACGTGGAGATGGCTTAAGGGAAAAGGAATTAAAGATAGCTTTATGATAAAATCTACATTCAGAGCAGAACTTAAATGACTAAGGATTCTGAGTGTATTTCACAGTTCAGAAAATATTCAATCCAAAGTAAAATGGACCCAGAACAAGGCTTGTATAAAATAAGAACAGATGAGTAATTAAGGCCTACTTTAAGGCACTAAACTCTTCAAAAAGAAAATTGTGATCATGGAATTTTTCTTTCTCGTGAATGCAGAGATTTTTTAAAGCAATAAAACAGAGATTGCAATTCAAAGGCTATTTGATTGCACCTGCCTCACAGGCTGGTTTTGTTTGACGCATACAAAGTTTTTTTTATTTCATTCTTTTTCGGTTGTTAATTTGAATTTGTTGCCAACATTCAAAAATCAAGCGATTTCGCATAAAAATCTGGAATTCTGACATCTCTCAAGAACTCCTGAAGAGCCATGATCAGCTGTACCTGATCAGTGAATACCCCTTAGGCACAATCTCTCAGAGTAGCCAGATCACTTCCTTCCAGGCCTTCCTATTCATTCCACTTCTTTAAATTAAGTCTCCTGCTTGGCCTACTGAGGATCGGCATTTGCACACACTGCAGGAGAATATCTCATTGCACTTTCAGCTAATTTGAAGGGTCTTATAAATTCAAATCAGGATTACTTTTACTGTACACTAACGTGGTTCCTAAGATGAAATCCTTGAGTTGGAGAAACATGGTTGATGTCTACAAGCTTAGGTTGGGGAGTCAGGAGAATAATAGCACCTTACAATTTTACCCCTTCCTCCCAAAGATAGGGCTTCCTGTGGCCACTTTAGCACATGTGTTGCTTGCAGCTCCTTGTCTCTGGGCAATGGTGCAAACCTTTATAACACCAAGAGGCATGCCCTGGATTCTCAGAGTATTAGCATGTTTGCTATAAGGAAACACTTCAATCTCTGCAGGGCACTACCCAATTAGCTTCAAGAGGACAATTGTTTTAACAGTAGTATGGATTTCATCTAATTTTCAAAGCGAATATCAAAAATATTAAGTCCCTCAAATTCTCTATATTACATACCTACTGTCTCTAATAAAAGACCATGTTATTTTTCTCATATTCAGAAATTCCCTTTTCTGCTATGAAACATTCACTGATCCCCATATTCACTATGACACACTCTTGACATTTGAAACAAACCTTCTTTAAAGCTAAAGACTAAGTCTTATAACAGCCTTCTTTTATTTTTGCATTAATTGGTAGGTAGTTGACTTTAAAAATTGGCTTTAAACCCACATAGAAATTGAATTTTGTAATGGCTTAATGACGTTAATGCATATAATTTACAATCCTGACAAAAGCTTTTGTCTCCTGTGGTCCCCTTTTTACTTCCCTTGATTCTGCAGTTTTGTAATGATAAGCATTATAAAAATGCCCAGACAGCTAAAGAGATACTCCCTGAATCCATATTTGGGTGTGCAAAGGGAAACATGCTGCCAATTAAAAATGCAGTAGAGCCCACTATTGTTGATTTACGGCTGTGGAGGACATAACTTCTTCTCATTCTGATTATTCAATTTGGATAACAACCCAGTTGCTATGTGAACTAACTTGATTTTCCCCTTTGATGTGCAATTCTTCTAACACCATCATTTAGCATACTGACTGATGATTGGATAAATTTGCTCGACTTTTACTATGAATCATTTAAATTACTCCTTTGCATAAAGGTTTAAATTTGCTTTGGAGGATGCATTAGGGAATTATTTTAAACACTGTTTTGTTTTGGTCTTTTTATTGTTTTACTTTCTGCACTAGATTTTCTTCCCTTTCCAGGTTATTGTCCCTCCGCTTTCACTTTACTAGAGTACAATAAGACATACCTTCCAAACTGAAGAGATGGAGGGTAGGGAAAGTGGAACAGGTAGAAATAGACCTCTCCCATCTACTTCTGAAACCTAAGCAATAACATCTCCACCCCTCTGAGGACCTGGACCATTCAATATTCTAGGTTTTGGCTGAATAGGCTGGATCAGAAATTGATCAGATTTTTTATAAAATTATAGCTCCAACAACCCCCAAAGCCTAGAAATTCATATGCTGTATGCCACAGCAAAGCCCTAAAATACATTTCTAATTACCTAAGAAGACCCTGGGTCACAGAGTTACACCAAAAGGAGTAGAAACCAAGGCCCATCTTCAGGCAGATCTACAAAACCACAGGATTAGACAATAGATACGCAGCTACAACGGAAATCCTTCTCCTGTGAAATCCTATCTGTCAGAATGTCCTCACCAAAGTCTCTTGGTTAAACCACAGAAGCACATGCATTATATCCAGGAAAGTGCTACAAAATAATCATATATTACCTGAAAGGGTCAAAAAAGGACATCAGAGGAGCAGATTTTTCCCTTCTCCTATTCAAATTGCCTGTGGACTGACTGGATATTAAAGAACTGTGCTGTCCAATACAATAGCCACAAGACACATGTAGCTATTAAATACTAAAAACATGTCTGCATTCTCTTTCTTTTTTATGGCTGCATAATAATCCATGGTGTACATATACCACGTTTTCTTTATCCAGTCTATCACTGATGGGCATTTGGGTTGATTCTATGTCTTTGCTATTGTGAATAGTGCTGCTTATCCTCAGCAAACTAACACAGGAACAGAAAACCAAACACCACATGTTCTCACTTATAAATGGGAGCTGAAAAACGAGAACATATGGACTCAGGGAGAGGAACAACATATACTGGGGCCTGTCAGGGGAGGGCAGGTTGGGGGAGAACACCAGAATAAATAACTAATGCATACCAGGCTTAAAACCTAGGTGATGGGCTAATCCAAACCACTATGTCACATGTTTACCTATGTGACAAACCTGCACATTCTGCACATGTACCCTGGAATGTAAAATAAAATAAGAAAAAAATTTTTAAAATGTGGCTGGTCCAAATTGAGATGTGATATAAGTATAAAAAAAGTCTTGATAATGTTCATATTGATTATGTGCAGCAATAAAATTTTGGATAAATTGGGTTTAGTAAAAATCTGTTATAAAACTATTTTCACTTATTTCTTTTTACTTTTCTAACATAACTTGGCTTTCTTATTTTTTTTTCTTAAACAGGGTCTTGCTGTGTCATCCAGGCTAGAGTACTGACATCACAGCTCACTGCAGCCTCAACCTCCCAGACTCAAGCAATCCTCCCACCTCAGCCTCCTGAGTAGCCATGCCACCATACCTGGCTAATTTTCACTTTTTTTTTTTTTTTTTTTTTGGTAAAGATGGGTTTCACCATGTTGCCCAGGCTGGTCTCAAACTTCTGAGCTCAAGCAATCTTCCCACCTCAGCCTCACAAAGTATTGGAATTACAGGCTAATGTGGCTTTTTTAATGTAGAAAATTTTAAACTACATAATGCAGCACACATTATATGCCTGTTGGACAGTGCTATAATAGAATATAAGTAAATTTTGCCTTATACTACCTAGAATCTGAGCACGAGAGAAGATAAAAGAGGGGAAAGGTAGACAGGTTAGCTGGAGGTGGCATTCTAGGAGCTAGAAAGGGTGAGATCCAGGAGCCCAGGGCAGTCTGATGTGTCCTCTTAGTAGCAGAAGTCCCCATGCAAGAGGAATCACAGAGGGAGGGAAAGAGGGCTAATGGGAATAAAAGAACCATTTGCCGATGTTCGGAGCTAGGCCAAAGTGTTCTCAGGTTCAGCTGGCAGCAGAAAGAAGATGTTGATAAGCATTCCAAACTCGCAGAAGCATCCCTACTTATTAGCATCCTTCTAAATTAGCACTCTTGAGATTTGCCAATCATATAGAAGAATTCTTTGGTTTTGTTGCCTTTTCAGAATGGCCTCTAGGTTGAATTTATTCCAGGCATCCGTATGCTCAAAACATATGGAAAAGAGAAAAAAGAAATGTTTTCCAAAGTATTCTTAAATTTTACTTCTAAAAGAAATATTTTCTTATTATAAATTTTTTTCAATGTTTTCTCTTAAACATTGAAAGAAAAAAATAAATTTTGGAATTTTTAGCCTACTGATATTGGTGGTAAAACAGTTTGATTTTTAACTATTAATTACAAAGAAT